CCCGTTTTTCTCCAAGGTCATTAAGTCGCGACCCAAGTTGCACTGCAATGGAATGCAGAGCATTGCGGTGTAGCGCGTTCCAGTGCGGGCGATTGAACTGTGGGTGGGTGGTGGGGATGAATGTCAACGCAACGCACTTTCTACACAAGAATGCGTAGTAGGTGCGATTGCGTGGTACAGTGCGTTAATGGCAAAGGACTTTTCGATTAACGCACTGTACTAGTGTGAACGGGCCCTCTAAAACACTGACAGATACACACAACCACAATCCCACACACACATATATACACACTCCCAAAAATGTGTTATTTCTTTTTTAAGATCCACCCAGTCTCCCTCTACCTTTCCAACCTAAAAACTAGAAAAGTGGAAGGCATGCGGTGACCCACTGAACATGGGGTCACGACCCACCAGCTGAGAACCAAAGGTACAGATACTTGGTATCGACGGAAGGGCACGAGGTCTTGATTAATATCTTTGTTGGCTCCCCACTCTCTACATCTCCTGGGTGATGGGGGATGTCCCCTTGTGTTTTCAGATTAATGTACCACCAAGCTCTCAAAAATGACTACCTTCCATTTTCCTGAAGCTTTGGCGAAACGCATAGAAGGCTGGACCTACTGCACATAGAAGCATGATCTTTTTCTAAAAGAATATATTGGGATGATTGCTGCATGTTAATTATAGAGTTCATTGATTGAAATAAAATGTGCTTGTAGGATCCAGGGAGGTTGATGTTTGGTATTCAATGTTGGGTGTTGCTGGTACCCATTTTAGTAGGAGTAATATTTGATATGTTCTAATTCTTACTGTATTATCTTCAATAAATATATATGTTTTATATATACTGTATGTAATGGAGTTCCTTTCATCCTTTGAATTGCCACCTTAAAAGCCCCCATATATCTTCTGTTTTGTGGTTGCTCACCATGTACCCTGTTTCCCCAAAAATAAGACCTACTCTGAAAATAAGACCTAGTACTATTTTTGGGAATAACTAAAATATAAGACCTACCCTGAAAATAAGACCTAGTTATGACCATTCCCAGGGCCAGTGGTGGCATAAAGGGGGAACCTGAAGAGTCGCGGCACAGGCAGGAGAGAATCAGCGGTGCCAACGAAGCCAGCTCTAGAGGAAGTAAGGAGGCACCAGAGCCGCATAAGCTCCCTCCTCTATAGCGTCGGCTCCTGTCACAGGCGGCACCCCTGATTGCCCTGATCACTATATTTTTGTACATGAATAAGTGTGGATTGTTGTACATTAAAAAAAGACATTAAAAAAATAAGACCTACCCCTAGTGTGTTTTTTTGAGCCCCAAAAATATAAGACAGTGTCTTATTTTCGGGGGAAATACGGTATAAGAAAATACATAGTCCATATAGTCAACTTGTTGCAAAGTTGTTCAGTTTAATGTCATTGCAAATTAGGGGGGGCGGGGGGAACGATGACTCTGCGCCAATGTATCCTCCACATGTGGACAGACTTCTTTGCAGTGTGGGCTGTGGAAATGTGACATAGACTTTCATAAGAACTAGCTCAGTAGAGTAAAACATAAAACCCCAAAACTGGATGTTTCTAAGTGTACAGAATATAACGGGACAGTTTTATTTATAAGAAATAACACTGCAGATATATTTTTCCCCTGTTGAAGCACATTGGACCAAGTTTTATTTTACCACCCTCTGGATCAGCTGTGGGTTTAGGGTTCCGTGGATGCAGGTTTTCTATGTATTCTTTTTTCTTTAGGTTGAACTCGATGGACGTGTGTTTTTTTTTCAACCTAATACCTATAGGAAGCAGGACGGATCCATGACACTATACTGAAAACACCTCATTGTGATATCCCACACAGTGTAATTAGCCCTGCCTTTGGACCAGTGCACACCTCCTTATGTTATGAAGATGAGGGGAGGGTGGTGTTTTGTAGTCCAGAAGAGAAGACCCAGGCAAAGCTGACAAGCACTGTGTTATCAGCTCAAGCAGAAGGTTAGGAGATGACTAGATTTCTGGCAAATGAACAGGTAATTTTCTGTACTTGCAGCTACAAGTGACAAAACAGGGAGAACATGTATGTATTGCAGAGATACTGGGGGGAATTCATCAAAACTGGAGCAGATGTGCACTGCAACCAATCAGCATCTCTCTTCAGTTTGTTCAGTTAAGATTTGAAAATGAAAGAGAGAAGCTGAAGGTTGCCATGCGCAGCTGCTCCAGTTTTGATAAATTCCCTTCACTGTATACTGCAAATGTGTTTTGTATTGCACCCTAACATACACTTTAAGAGAGCTCATTCAGACAGGTTCCTCTCGATGCACCACATTATCATGCTTTGCCTCATGGGCAATAATGTGTGACATTTTGTGTGGTAACATATATTGCAGTGTATGACAAATAACATACAAGGCGGCTCATTCATTTTAAATGGGCCGATAACGCAGTTCACGCCCTGTGGCATTTTCTTTACATAGCATACTAAATTGTGTTATTGATGATTTACATCTGAGTGTTGTGATGAAATGCGTTGTGCTGTGCTCTGTACATTATAAAATTGAATGGCACCGCACTGCAGTCATTGCCATGTGCGGTGTGGTAACGCATGATAAAATGCACATTTATACTGTAGTGCACAGATCAAAATGGAGTGCGAGTGTCTGGAAACGTCACAGGGATATGGACTCAGGGCTGTCAGGAAAGCTGGATTTTGTGGTCTTACAGAAAATCTAATTCCATAAACCACATTATACAGGTAAAATACTGATTAATAAGCTTACTAATGACCAGTGTGAAAGCAAAACACAACGGATACCTTACTGACGGATATTCAAAAACCATGCAGGATATTGGAAGACTCGCAGATCTAGGTCCCATCCCTTTTATCAAGGGACTTCAAAGGGAACCCGAAGAGAAAAGGTTACTTCAAAGTGAGAACTCTTCAATAAGGGTCTTCACTGTCCCCTCCACCCCCAGCGCTGTCAAAAGAATTCCTTGAAATGCTATGGTGCTCCTTTTCTTTAAACCGTTTGGAGGATGTCAGCAATTCTGATCCGGTGACCTCCAGGAATATGCTACTTGTATATGTTTCCGTGAAATCACAGGAAGTGTTAAAAGTGTACCTGTCACACATACTCAACAGAGGTGAGGTTGACTGGCGTCTCAAAGAATGAGGCTAATTCAGCTGAAACAAGTAGCGCCACTTTGAAATGAAGATGCGCAATAGATGGTCACTTGTTATTCGAGCGGTGTATAGAAAATCAGTGAAAAATAACCAGAAAACAAAATTGATTTAGATGTCGGCCATTGTAGACATTTCTAGTGATGCAGCAGAAAATCAGTTTCAAAATACCCAAAACAGTCAAAACTAGAAGATGCAGCGCTGCTAAGGGGTTAGTGATTGGGCTACGACGAAATGGTTACTGACTATAGATCTACACAATGTGGCTTCAGTGTCTGAGTTCCTGGAGCCACTTTGGAATAACTGGGGCTTGTGCAGGTATCCAGTAGCAAAATCTAAGGAGGCTTTTTTTAGCCTCAGAGATAGATCCCAGAATTATGGAAGGAAGGGCAATATTGGGGAAAGAAAGGGAATATTGGGATACACAGAGAATTTAGAGCTGGAGACCTTGATATTGAATAGTTTAGTCCAATATTAATGGATGGGGGGGGCGGTACCTCCACACAGAGCATGATTCCTACAGCATTGTTGTATCTTCAGCAGCAATCTGATTTAGATATAGGAAATATTTATGCAGACTATAGGGGCAACCATACCACCGTGTGTCACAATTTTATAGCCACACTGGCAAAGCTGCTTTTGTGGGGAAGAGCGAATATGTTGTGTAAGTAGACTTCCTGAATTTGGTGGCCTAATTCCTTTTCTTAACATACAGTACGGTGTAGAGGAGTTATGTGGTATAGGATGGGTAGGTGCTGCATCTTGTAAACAAAGAGGTTCAATTTGGGTCCAGTCTCTAGAAATCAGTCTGTTAGGCGAGTTATAAAACCTTGGAGCAGGAAGTATTGGAGCCAGTGTCCATTGGCAGATCGTAGGGTAGATGGGAGAATAGGAAGGAACCATGAATGCCACTTGGGGGTGAAGAAAGGTGTGTGTCTGGCCATTTGTGGAGGTGGGACTGGGATAGACCCAGTGGGAATTCAGGATTACCCAGGATGGGAGTAAGTGATCCAATACATGAGAGCAGGGTTCCAGGCCTTTAGAAGGGGAGGGATCCCAATAGGGAAGGCTGAAAGTCAGGGGTGAGTGTGGGGTGCTACCCATGGGAGGGGAATCGGTAAGAGAGGACACAAGTGGTTGTCAATTGTGAGCCAATGCATAAAACATGTTAGTTTGGAAGCTTTGAGCAAAGCAATAAAGGGCTGGCAAAGTGCATAACCTCCCACTGTGGCTGTGCTCAGCATTGTGGGATAATAACATTAAGTCAGATGTAACACTAACATCATTTTAAGACATTTAAAGCACAACTCCAGCCAAAACTTTTTTTTTATTGAACAGGTGAGGTTTTTAATGCCGTCTGCTTATTAAAGGAGATATAACTTCCTTCTGTTCTGTGTGATATCAGTCCAGCCAAATGTGTGTGGGTGTTTCTTATATATGTGCAGAGCTCCACTTTAATCCTACACAGCAATTCAAATACTGGCCATTGTCTACGTCCACCAATCACATCTGCTTTTCACTTTCCAAACTGACATACAAATTCTGTTTCCCTGACGTTCAGTGGCGCATAGAGTTTCATGCATGAAACAGGAAAGAAAATATGCTCTTGTTGCTCATAGCAACCAATAATTTCAGTCTAGTGTTTCCAGGTCAGTTATAAGATAGCTGTGGGAGGATACTTCCTGTAAAAGCAATTATAAGTAAAGCAGCAATTAATGCAGTTATGCGTTCATTAAAAATTATCAAATATATTCTTAAATGGAGCTGGAGTTGGGGAGCTGACCAGGCTGTATTGCTTAACTGCGGCAGAGAAGTCAGCTCATCAACTTGACTGTGTCGGGGCTGTGTAAATCCTAGGACTGGATGGACAGAAAATAAATTATTTAGCAAGTAAAGCAGCTCTTCATCTATGTATTTCAATTGAGTATTTAACTGTCTGCCTGGAGTTCAGCTTTAATCAAGGTTGCTAAACCCTCCCCCCAGTGCTAAAGTAAGGACATACCTTAAATGATGCCTCTTTATTTGATCATCTTCTTTCCTGTGGTTTTTAGCTGCCCTTCCAGCGCTGGTGCGGGTCTCCGATCCGGCCTCGACTCCTCTGTCCTCCTCTTCTCTCATGTCCCACGGTGTCTGTGCGGGTGCACGCTGCCCCATATACTTACCTTGTGTCTCTCCTCGTCTCCCGTCCGAACTGCGCATGCGCCTGCCCCAAGATCTGTAGGTTTTTTGTTTTTTTTATTGTTTTGCATCTATCTTCTGCTTGCTAGCAGTAGATAGATGCAAAAACAAATGAGGGTTTAATAACCCTTTCACTGCCTATAAATGTATGGCCAGCCTGTAAGAAAATGCAACAAGGTAGCGTAAAGGATGTAACGAACAAAAAGTGATCTCTCCTGCTGTTTGAGTATCGGCTTGTTACAATGTTTTTGATGCACAGCTAAAAATGTCCTTAGTGTTGGAGTGGGAGCTGTCCAGAGCTCACAGAGTTCTTTGCAGGGTGATACCAGCTCGTCCAGACATTGTTACACACAACAGTTACATTTTATTATATCATTACCACAATCATACTAATAAAAGACAAATGCCAGCATATTAGATGATAATATTGCTGGAAGTACATCGCTGCCTTTCCTTGTATACCAAACAGCCACCTTTACGGAGAACCGACATACAGTATGTGGTCATTTGGTTATAAGAGAAAGAATCAAACATCAGCTCTGATCAGTCAGCCTGCTACCTAGCTACAAGCACATTCTAAAGAGAACCTGTCGCAGCACCAGCTAGCAATAAACAGTGCTCCACCCCCCCAGAGAGCACCATTGATTGACTATACTATTGCCATGGAGTAGCAAATGGACTGGTGAGATTTCTCTCCATTTCCTGTCCTGGAGACACAACAGGAAGTGGGAGGTAATCTCTAAAGTGAGGAGAAATCCTTAGACCACTGTCACTGGAACATGCATCACCATTGGAAAAGTTCCTCCTCATACTTGTCCCCATTAAAATGGTTAGGATAAATAAAGAGAGTGAATCTCCCCCTAAAATCAGTGAACAGAGATTCTAACCCTTCCCCACTCTAGTCAGTCACGCAGCTCCGTTGAACACCATATTACTTTCTGTAGAGGACCTCTGTGTTGGGTCCCCACATCTGTATTTGGGAGTGGTGTGCCCCTAAATGACTAATTCACATAATAGATCATGAAGACTACTAGCCTGTGAAATCCTGGTGAATCTCACCCTAGAAACCTAACAGAGGTTCTAACCCTTTACCACTCTAGTCAGTCACTCAGATTGTCCTGAAACCAGCAGGTCAGCATAACATTTGCACAACTAGAAATATTTTTTTACAGGGGGTCAGCACTGGTGGTTGCCCTATTTCTTTATTTAAAGGACCTCTGTGTTGGGTCTCCACATATGTTTTTGGGAGTGGTGACTGGCATGAAGAGAACTAGACCGTGGAGTCCTAGGAGTTGCCCATGGTCCACTTCCCACCCTCAAGTTGGCTAATTGGTTTAATCATTTAGTACTTTTCTGTGGGTTCTATTAAATTACAATGCTTTGAATGTTTATTTACCTGTGACTCTCGGCTACATCCATCTATCCAGTCCCGACACTCTGTCATGTCTATGGCTGTCCAATACCATGCATGACTCCTATGTTTGTAGGCAATGCACTTCTCACTAATGTCTATGGATAACGCAAGGCTTCTCTAATACTATCATTAATAGCTGGGGAAAACACATTATCCCACACTCATTTTGCTTTGTTACATGGACTTGATAAGATTAGAACTAAACCGACCAGTGTGCTACCCTGAGAAACAGGAGGATTTCTGTTATGCGTGTTTTGAGTTGTAGAGAAGGATATGATGCAAACATCATTATCACTCATTATTAATTAGAGCTAAAATGTTACGCAATGCAGTAGAGGAGAATGCAAGAAATTCCCAGCACATAAGAAGTGGATGAAAAGAAAATATCTCTGCTTCTAGAGCAGCCAATCAGATTGCAGCTTTCATTCTGACAATGACATGCGTCCATTACCTAGCGAGGTATGTGGCTGATAGTCCGAGGTAGGAAAGAAGAATAGTCCTTACACCGAGCACGCTGGCCGAGTTCTGGCTGATCGATAATTTGGGGTAACCAACATTCGCTGGCTGTTACAATTTTACACACATTAGACTTCAGCGCTAGAAAAGTCCTTTACAAAATCTAAAGTCAAATGGTGTCTTACAGAGGAGCTACGGTACTTAAAGCTTGTACATGAGGTAATGCAATCAGATTAGAGATGATGGTGGTCTCTTAATGTTGCTGTGCTTACAGATGTGAAAAAGATCAGCTGATGTAAAATGAATCTGATCTGTTTTAGTGTTCTATAAACCTCATGTCTGTGTATAGTGTGTAGTCATGTATGTGCATAAGGGCAGACATATTTGCTCTTTATACAGGCAGGCAATGCTAAATAGTGCTGCAGAGCCACATCTACCAGACCGGGTCTTGTCTGACTGAAAACAATGTATTCTATACAGTCATGGCAAGAAAAAGGTACTGCTTTCCTCAAATTTCCAAATCCTCTGATATGGTGATGCTGACATTTGGCCAAGTCATTTATGCCAATAAAACAGGCAACCTTTAAATGTAAATAATCTCACCAATGTGCGTTAGTGCCAAGTACAGATTCCGTTTCTATGTATAGTTTACACATGAATACGAGGGCAGTCATATTTCCTCATTACATAAGCAGGTTCTGCTTCCTTCTTACTTGTGCTGAATGGTAACCTACCTATCAGGGCTAATATGTATATAGGATTTTAATCTTTTGCTACTATGAGATTTTACCACTTACTCTCCTCCTACTAGAGTGTAAGCTCTCACAAGCAGGGCCCGCCTAACCCTCCTGTATTGAAACTGAATTGTAACTGTATGGTCTCCCTCCATTTCGTAAAGTGCTGTGCAAACTGTTGGCGCTATAAAAATCCTGTATAATAATAATAATACCAGTCATCTGATCAAACCAGAGCTACACAGGAGATTTGTATAGCGCAACTGTGCTCGCAATCAGTCTCTAAAAGTAGCAACTGATAAACAGCTAAATGGAGAGAACAAATGTCTTGTATGTTCCCACAATGCTCTAGTTATGTGCGACTTTTCACTATTGCATGCTACTTGTGTAACTTACTCCATAGTACCAATGAATCTACTAGAAATCTCCTGCGTTGCCTAATGAGATGACTGTTCAGAACTGGATACATTTCTCAGTAGCAAAATAATAAAATCACCCATGGGGTGCTGTTTAGCCCAATGCTTGCCGCTCTTCAACGGCAAGTCTTTTGCTGGCCATAGACGGCTCGAAATTCTGCTGATCCCTGTTAAATCAGCTGGGCTGGTCTGCAAGCATCATCAGAAAGTTATCCTATTAGATGCAGTCACTGTTTGGGTATTCAGGCAGCTGCCGTTGCTGCATACAAGAGTGAGTAGTGGGGATTCCATGCTGTATAGTGGGCATGGGGTGAATCAATCAACTCTTGTTTGACCTACGGACTGAACGAGAGAAAATTTAGCCACGCATGGCAGGCTTAATAGTATGTTCAGACTGACTGATAACAGACGCTCAGTGTGTCTGACTGGTCTTACCTCAGTCATGTAGTAAAGAATGTAAAGAAATTGAGAATAAGAATGTGTAAGAAATCGATTCAGAAAATGATGTTACAGCAAGTAAGTAATAAGTGACCTATATATGTACTTTTGAGTATAATTCTAACTCTGATGGCGAGTCCACGGAAAAAACAATATTTAATTACACTGCTGATTTTTTAAAATCTAGAATGAGTACTGTGGGAGATCTTCTTTATCTCGCCAGTCAAACTCCATAGTACACAAATGTTGAGCACAGAGCGAAGGTCAAACCAAGCCTTATTGCAGGTCTTATCTGCCTTTCAGGCTGCACATTAGAGACTCTTGAAGGAAATTGCCTGTTTTCACCTTGGCTGGTGAGAACAGACAGAACAATAAGGAAGTTAAGAGCGGGGAGGAGGCGGAGGGGGACCGTGGGATGGGAAACTGGAGAGAGAGAGACACTGTGAGGACACACCTTCACTGCAGGCAAATGCCCAGCTTCCTCGCACTTATCCAGAGACATGATAAACAGAGAGCAGAGCCAGGCTCCAAACCGCAGAACAGGTGTAATCAAAGGCTGCTCTTTCATTTTACCGCTTGGAGCACAAAAAGGTGCCCATACACTGCTCGATTCTCGTACGAGAATCGCGGGAAATCCCGCGATCGCGCACACTGCCCGTTCAGCATTGCGGTCATCGGAAGCCCGCCCCTCAGGGGGGCGCGCTTGCGATGATCGAGAGTGCGATCTGCCTGTCCAAGATGTGCAGATCGTACGTTTTTTTAATCCCTTTACAACCATCGCAAGACTAAGGTCTTGCGATGGTTGTACAGTGTATGGCCACCTTAAGACTACTAAGGCTAAACAGGAAAAGCCACCATTAGGTTAAAGTCAGTTGAACTTATCCTGCATATTTATACTCTGGTAGGTGGAGTTGGGAACCATGACCATTTCAGCACCAGGATTAGGTGCTCCAAGTCACCAATGAGGATTATACAGAGGGACCCGGTCTTCCTAAGTGCTGCAAGCATGAAAAGCAAAGAGCCCAGTGGCAATACAATGTTCATTCAGTACACATATCAAAGATACAGTTTGGAATTATATTAAAACATACAATTAATAGCATGCAACAACATTTATGATCACTTACTTTCTTTCCCTTTGGAGTCTTTCAGATGTTCCCAAATTTTCATTAACTGCATCATTCGCTCCTGGGAGATGTGCATGTACTTGTCACAGTTACATGCCTGAAAACAAGCAGAAAGCAAAAGTCACCTACAGACCGTGCTAGATGGGAAGACACAATTATACCTGCAAACATGCTTGTTTTTCCCAAACTGTAGACTCGTGTAGTAGTAAGATCCAGGCTGTAAAACAGACCAAACCAATGCAGATAGTATAGTGACCCAACCAAACTAGTCTCCAGGTAATACTTATGGATGCTAGAAAAGTCCAAAGCAAGTGGACTGCCAGGACTCCCACACTATCAGAGGACAGTTGGCAAGAATGACTTATATGCTGGTGCTCATATCCTTGGGAGATAGTCATCCAAATGAAATGTTTCCATCAAATTTACTACACCCCAGTTAGATATAAAAGCCTTGGGTTTAAATACTTCCAATGCTATAAGAGGTGCGGTGAGACTTCAGACTTCTTTCATGCAATATTGCAATGACAATATATTTTTGAGTTCTGGGGACAGGTGGCCAACTTTGTCTCAGACTTCTTAACACACTTAATCCAGAATTATACTTATCAGGATTCCTGGACAATTTACCTGACTCAGGGGTCATTCCAAAAGATGACTCCATTATCTGCTGTTTTCTACATAAATATCTATTCTACTAAAAAGGGGAAAATTCCACATCCCCGTAACTCTCCTATTGGATTCAAACATTAAATAATACCCTCCCTCTTTACAAATTGATCTTTGAGAACAGGGGACACCTAGATATTTTCAAAAAGATCTGGGGTGGGTGGATTTCCACTCCTCATACAGTCCCGACCTCTTCCCATGATGTCACACCTTCATTAAACTGAACCGTATATATGTAAAGTGCTTTTATTTTATATACTGTATGTCATTCTTTATTACAAACAAAAAGTGTGTTATTATTCTGGTATTGTTTGTTAGAATGCCGTTTGTTGATTTTGGTTTTATTATGTATGTCATATAATGTAATAATCGGCATGGTTTTAAAAATGCTTAAACTGCTGAGTGTTCTATAAATCTGTCGCAAACAGGTTGAATAACGCATAAGCTAAGGTTACTTTCAGTGAAAACCGCATGACAAACAAATTTGAAGATCCAAAGACATAGACATCTGAAGTTATAAGCACATCTTGACTTTTCCTGTAAGTCAAGCTTGGCTCCACCCTTTTGATTCTTGAATATAATGGGTGGTGCCATTAACATCAATGCTTAGGAGGTGTGTGTGTGTGTGGAGGGGGGGGCGCAAGTTTAACTCTTGCTGGGGAGGTGAAAATATGGCAGCAACATCAGCTGCCTAAATCTTTGCATCTGCCATCATTTTGGAATAAGGTTTTCACCTTCGTATAGATTTCTTCATCAGATTCTGAGCTTGAATTGCTCGGGTTTGTGATAGTGTACAATTATACATGTAGATGGCGGCAGCCATATCTATCCCCCGCATATACAGGCTCTGCTCCATGTAGTAGTGCTGCACAATGGTCATGCTATGCTGATCCTCTTATCTTATTGCCAGTATGCCAGACTGTCTGAGAGGACACAACAGACCCTCCTCAAGTCTCTAAAAACATACAACACCTACCATGCTCCCTGGAGATCTTGGAGAGATCTTTAGTAAAAATATAATTTTTGTTGATAAAGTTGGCATGTGCCCCACTAATTCATGCAAAGTGTGAACTTTAATAGGTAGCACAAGTAAGCGACAGGTAAAACAAGGTGACCAGATCAATCTTGAGTTTCTATTATGTTTAAATGGTGCCTCTTACTCCCTCATTGGCTTACTGCTGCAGAAACGGCTTCCTGTTGATGTATTACGGATATAAAAAGCGTGAGAAGTGGAAATGAGAGGTAGCCCTACGGACATGTATCCAGCTCGATGAGGAACAAAAAGACTCAGGAAGAAAAACCGGTTCTTCAGCACAAGGTACACAAAGTGGGAGGAAGGACGGCAAGGCATGGGGTGTGTTGGGGGGGAGAAGGACGGAGAGGCCTGCGACTGATACAAAGGAATTTGAAGATCAGGAGCTGCGTGAACTTCTCATTAGCAATCCCTAAGACAGGAAAGAGATGTGTCCCTGTCTGCAGGAGATTAAATGCTTAGGAATAATGACCATATCTGTACATATAATTCCAGGTGTGACATTTCAGGCCTGTGCTAGCCAATGGAGCATGGCTACTTATAGGTGGAGCGGAAGCATGCAGTCTCCAGAAAAGGGGATTTGTAGCTAGGTGGATTTTCTTCTCATAAAGAAAATGATTTTAGGGTAGAGCAGGACTTCATATGCGACACATGGCGGCTGTATATGCAACTAGAAATACATGACGCGTAATGTGCTGAAATAAATGCCAGTTATTAGATAGGGCTACAAATCCCACTGTGGCTTACATTTTATGACCTTTTCTATTAATAGTTATTATTGGATGCTACTGGAAATAGAGAACTGTTTTTTCAGTTCTTGGTGGATGCTGGGGAGTTAAACCACCTAATTGTTTCTCTTAGATCTTTGGTGGCTTGTATAGTTGCCAAGCAGACAGCCCTCGGTAGACAGGAGCACCAAGAACTCAAGTGGGCAGGGGTGGGAACAAAGAGAACGAGGAAGTTTTAACCCTAGATATCCATAGGCTACTTACCTCGCCAGATTCCGCTTATAAATAAAATACTGATTTTGTGTGCACTTGTCCTTTCCTTAATGTGAAGGTGGGATGTGTCCAACAATGTATCCCACCATGACTTCAAATGAGATGCATAACAACCCACATCCTGGCTACTCATGACAAGACCCGTGGGAGCCTAGATTCTCTTCCTACATGCTTTGTTCATTATGGATTAATTATTATATATAACATGTATGGTTATAATATACATACTGTATATATTTAGAGTACAACAGGCATTGTAGGCACCTGAAGAGCTTCCATTGGAGGACAGTATAGTAGCTTTACGGCACCAAAGTTTCAGTGAGAGAAATATGGAGGCTACCAGTAGAGCTGCAGCTAACGATTATTTTCAAAATCGATTAGTTAGCCGATTATTCAGTTCGATTAATCGGTTCAAAATAAAATCAAATACATTTTAAAAAATAGCTCCAGTGATGGGACTACTAGTTTGTATTGAGATTGTAGTCCATCACAGGAGCAAGCTTGGGAGTAAAAAAGTGTGGTGTGCAATATAGTGAAATGGAAAGTGTAAAATTATACAGCAATCAATGCAGAATACCACCAGCTATAGAGGAATACAACAAATCCCAGCAATAGTACATTATGGCTGGCTGTATTCTGCATTGCGCTGTATAACGTATTATTGCTGGGTTCTGTAGTCCTCTATAGCTGGTGGTATTCTGCATTGCACTGTATAATGTACTATTGCTGGGTTTTGTACACCTCTATAGCTGGTGGTACTCCGCATTGCACTGTGTAATATATTATTGCTGGGATATGTTGTACTCCTCTAGCTGGTGGTATTCTGCATTGCGGTGTATAATGTATTGCTGGGATATGTAGTCCTCTATACAGCTCAATGCAGAATACCACCAGCTATATAGGAATACAACAAATCCCAGCAATACATTATACATACAGTGTATAATGTATTGCTGGGATTTGTAGTGCTCTATAGCTGATGGTACATTGCTCTGTATAGTATACGGTACAGCACACTGTACCATCAGCTATAGAGGACTACAAATCCCAGCAATACATTATAGAGCACCGTGTGTGGGAAAGTGCAGGCTTACCTGAGCAGTCTTCCAGCAACTTGCTTCTGTGATCGGTCCTGTCCATCAGCGGCTGTCATCCCCCCACACCTGCTCCTCCTTACTTCTTCTCCCTGTGCCGATCGTTGATGTGGGCGGGCGGTGAGAGTCAGACTGGGAGGAGGTGCGGCGTGTTGAGCGTGGATGCGGGCGAGCGGGTCTGGCAGTGGCGAGCATGAGGTGGGGAGGAGGTGCGGCGCGCAGCGTGTGTGGAGCCGTGAACAGGGCCAACTAATCGGAAGCCGATTAATCGATGATTGAAAAAGTTGACAACGATTAGTTGTTGCAGCCCTAGCTACCAGTGAAGACCACCTGCTGCAAATGCTAGTTCCCTGGCTGCAAGGTAAAAGGAAGGTGGTTTCTATAACAGCCAATCAGATATCAGAATTCAAGAAAAATGGAAAGCAATATCTGACAGGTTGGTATGACACAATCACTATCCCTTGGAGCAATGCTCACCATGAAACAGTGCAGTCGGAGTATTACTAATATAGCTCCCTTTTACCTGTGTCACAGCAAGGCCAGGGGACACCTTGACAGTAAGCAAACAAGGCGCTCACTAGCTTGTACGGTGAACGCCCTGGGAGCAGAATGAAACCTTGCCAAGTAGTTTCAGATGGTAAAAACTTGCTGGTTGCTTTATATTTTCCTTGTAGCCCCATATAACCTGGTAATGGTGACGTTTTTACTTTGGGTTCCACCTGCCACTGACAGAATAACTGAACAGTGACTTACTTATTTCTTACTCCCACTTACCACCGGTGTAGAGGCAATTATTACTCTCACTGACCACCAATGTAGGGGCATTTCTTACTCCCAATAACCATTATATATGGCATTTACTATTCCTGCTGACCACGGATGCAGAGGCATTCATTACCTCCACTTACCACTGCTGCAGGGGCATTCATTACCTCCACTTACCACTGCTGCAGGGGCATTTATTACTTCTACTTACTACTGATGCAGGGGCATTTATTACTTCCAATTAACACTGATGCAGGGGCATTTATTACTTCTACTTACCACTGATGCAGGGGCATTTATTACTTCTACTTACCACTGATGCAGGGGCATTTATTACGTCTACTTACCACTGATGCAGGGGCATTTATTACTTCTACTTACCACTTTAAAGGGGCATTTATTACTTCCACTTTCCACTGATGCAGGGGCATGTATTACTTCCAATTACCACTGATGCAGGGGCATTTATTACTTCCAATTACCACTGATGCAGGGGCATTTATTGCTTCTACTTATTACTGATGCAAAGGCATTTATT